CCCAAGAAGAGTTAGCTGCTATTATTGTGGTGGTGGTTATAACTGTCCAGGTTAAACTTCCCATTGTTTCCCGGGGAGGGAATCCCTCACCCTCATCCTCTTACCTACTCATCCCTCTCCACTGTGATATTGTGATTTATAAGAAATATGATTTTGCCTGGCTGGAGTGGCTCAGTTGGTTGAGTATCATCTCATGAACCCAAAGGTTACCAGTTAGATCCCTAGCCAACCTGTCTTGCAGGAGGCAGCTGATTCACGTTTCTCTCTCGCATCGATGTTTCTCTCTCCCACTCTCTCTGTCTCTCTCTCTAAAATCAATAAAATCATTATAAAAAAATAGAAATATATATTTGGTCTTCCTCCCATTCCTGGCACAGAGCTTCTAAAACCCTTATAATTTCATGTTAGAGTGTTAAGATATCTTTTGTTATTCAAGATAAGCCCTTTTCAACCATTCCTAGGTTTATGTTAATGAGGTGAGTTCTGGAGAGCCCCTAAGTGGTGGTTAAATTAGTCCCCAATGGCTGATAATTTAATCAATTATCCCTGTGTAACAAAGCCTTCATCAAAATCCCTAAAGATGAGATACATGGGAATCAATCAACTGATTAGAGACTTGAAACTTTTAGTCCCACCTCTGAACCTCTGGGGAGGGGAGAGGAGCTGGTGGTTAAATTCGTCCCCAATGGCTGATAATTTAATCAATTATTCCTGTGTAACAAAGCCTTCATCAAAATCCCTAAAATGCAGGTTTGGAGAGCCTCCAGGCTGGGGAAGTGTGGAGATGCTGAGAGGGTGGCACACCATCAAAGCCCTGCACCCCTCCCACACACCCTGCCCTGTGCAGTTCTTCCATCTGGTAGCTCCTGAGTTGCAACCTCTTATAATAAACCAGTAATCTAGTGAACTGTTTTCCTGAGTTCTGTAAGCTGCCTCAGCAAATCAATGACCCTGAGGAAGGGGTTGTAGAAACTTCTGATTGATAGTCGTTTGGTCAGAAACACAGCTGACAACCTGGACTTTTGCTCGGCAATCGGCACCTGAAGGGGGGCAGGGGCAGTCTTGGGGGTCGGAGCCCTTCACCTCAGGGATCTGACCCTGTCTCCAGGTGGTGTCAGAACTGAGCTAAATTACAGGACGTATAGCTAGAGTCTGAGAATTGCGTGGTGTGGGAACAATCCCCATGCATTTGGTGGCCAGAAGCATTGAGTGAGAGCCTGAGAGTAGTAATAGACTATTCTGTGAGTAGACAAAAAACAAGAGAGAGTTTTTCCTTTAAATTGACAGAAACAAACATCTTGGAATCCTTGGGAGACGGGACCAGAATGGATCTAGGATCCAGACATGAGTTTCTGGCATCCCAAGGCTATAAGATGGTTAAGTTAAAACTTGTTAAGGAGATAAAAGAGCTACACCAAATGGAGTCCAGCATGATAAATGAGGGTATTCTTGTAACGTCAGAGAATTTGTGAACAATGCCAGGAGGGCAGAGGCATGACTGATAATGTGTAAATGAAGATTATGGTAATTGGTGATTAAAGGGCTGCTCCCCTACATAAAACCCAGCCTAAGTAACAGCCTCCTCCCTGTCATTCCTGCCTCCAAAATAGCCCTTCCCATCTATCTACACAGCCACAGAAGCACTCTTGCTAAAATACAAATTTAGCCATGTCACCGCAGTCGTAAGTCTCCTCAGTATCTCCCCACTGTATTCTGAATGAATACTGTGCCTACACTGTACCTTTTAGGATCCTCAAGACACGCCAACGAACTCTTACCTTCGCTTCCCTTCATGTCAGTTGGTCTCATCCTTCCCTCTGCCTAGAAATTAACCCTGCCCCTGCTATGTCTGCCAAATTCCTGCTTGTCTCACAGATTTCAGCTTAGATGTCCCTTCCTCCAAGAAGTTTCCCTGGGTTCACCCAGACTCGGTCAGGTTCCACAGGGTCCTGTCTTCACCTCTACCATTAGACTATAGCAAGCTCGTGTGGACAGGGCTCATATCTGCCCATCAGTGTCTGGCACATTGCAGGCACGCAAGAAGTACAGGTTCAAATGGAGGAATTATACCTAAATAATTCCTACAACACTGTGGTACCCTTTTTCATTTATCTGTGTATCTCTTCAGCTAGACAGTAGGATTCCTGTAGGCAGGTCTGACTCATCTTTATATGCCTGGTGCCCAACACTGTGCTGACACATGGGAGGTATTCAAAAAATGTCTGTTGAATGTTTGATGAATGGATGAGTGGTTGATAGATGAATGGCTGATGGATGGAAGAATAAATGGTTGGATGGATGGGTGGTCTGGTAAACTGGTGAATTGGATGGACGTTGTATCCCAGCCACTAATAGGTATTTGCTTCAATATATGTCTCTTGGGATCAAGTATAATTTTCTGAAGAAACTAAAGAACCCAGGGCAGTTCAGTAGTAGACATAAATGCCAGCAGTCATTCCCCAAGTCCCCCTGGGACAGCTACCATCACCTCCACTGCCCAGGCCCTGCAAACCTCTATCCACCACCGAAAAACACCCCCACACAAACCTGGTCCTTGGGCTCTTGGCTGACCAACCAGAAGAGGAGAAGGTTGTTACAGGTGATGTTCACTTCTGGGAGGGTCTCCAGGTAACTCTTCAGGGTGGTCGTCCCCTTGGTCTGTGGTGGGGGCTGCCTCATGGATGATGGAGCATTGGGCATCCAGGCCCCAAAGTCATGCTGTGGAGACCCCGCCCCAGTTGAGTCAACTGGCCAGAGGGAGAGGACCAGCTTCTTTATCATAATTCCCAATCCTGCCCCCTACCATCCCAGGTCTTACATTTGGGAAATGAGGGATTGTGGAAAGGGAGGCGAGGGAGTGATATAGGACAGAAAGTTCCAGAAGTGAGGCAGGAGCCTGCCTCAACCCTTATTACTCTCCACCCAATGTTCCAGGACTGGGTGGAGTGAATCACCAAGGAACAAGGAGGACTCAGAGAGGAGGTAACCCTAGAAATGGGCCTGGGGCTAGCATGCCACACACAGCAACCTGAAACTCCACTTGACTGCATCCTAACCATGACAGAAGTCCATAAATTCTACTCCCTATGCAACACCAGCTCAAGTCAACATTATAGCCTTGGACCCAACTCCACCCCAGTCATCACCCAACACCAGTCCTTCACTCCACCCAGTCACCACTCCAATCCCACCCCTAGTGATAAACCCATCCCACCCATGCTCTCATCGGGAACGCTGGCCTCAGCTGCATTGCTGAGCCTAACCTTTCCTGGCCAAATCGCCCACTGGCCTGCCCTCTGCAGCCTCACCTGCCCACTGTTGACAGCAGCGTGCTGGGCGGAACAGTTGAAGATGATGGCTGTGAGGAACTTCAGCAGCTCCTGTCGGGTGCGCAGCTGGCACGGGAAGCCTGGGTACGGGAGGGAGGGGAGAGAGTGTGGAGGGGACTGGATTCCTAGGGGCAGCTCGGGGCTGGGGCTCAGCATAGGGGGAGAGTAAGAAAGGGAGGGCTGACCATTTGGCCACCACGGTCTTTAGACTAGGGTTAGGGTTAGGCTGAGGTTAGGGATGGTCATCACCAAGGTTTGTGGTCTCTGAAGGGGGTCAGGATAGGAGCTGGGAACTGGGGTCAGACCAGAAAATGCCCAGTCAGCAGAGCTCACAGCGGAAGAGCCAGGTTCAAGCAGACCACCAAGGCACCTCTGTCTGCAGCCTATATGAGCATTTAACGACTTAATTCTACCCAGTTCACTGAGATCTGTCCAAGCAAGCACCCAGCAGCCGGTCATCTGCCTCTGGGCTTAGGATGTGCTACTAATAAGCTCACAGAGATGGAAGCGGAAGGAAGCTCTCGGGGGCAGGCAGGCAGGCACAGGGGGCACATTACCGGGGAAGAGGCCTCCCTGAGCGAGTGGGTGAGCTCTGAATAGAAAGAAGATGACAGAGAAAGCATTTCAGCCCTCGGCCCTCTTCGCTCTATACGTCACTGGTCTTATCCAAGTCCTTGGTTTAACCACCTTCCCGGGCTGACAACTCCTAAGTTCACATCTCTGGCTGGCTCCCCCTGGCCCCTGAACTCTAGACTCAAACTTCCCATCTGTACAACCTAATGCTTGACTCCCGACCCTACACACTCCCCAAACCTGTGCTTCCCACAGTCATCCCATGTGGATACTCTTTGTCCCGTACAATGACTCTTTTTATCTCGCCCCACACATATCAGTAACACTTCCAGAAGCCAACGGTCTCACCACCTTGTCTCCACCACTACCCAGTATCATCCTCTCACTCCTGGATGAATCCACCTGCTTCTGCCATGACCCCAACAGCTAGAGTAAGTGACCCTTTAGAATCCTAAATTCAGTTATGTCACTACTGGCCAAAACCCTCTATGGGTCCCATCTCCCTGACCTCACCGTGATCTTGCGTGATCTGGCTCTGGCTTGTTCTCGGACTTCAGTTCCTTTCCAACTTTTCTCCCTCTCACTTACTCTACTCCAGCCACGCAGGCCTTCCTTATAGTCCTCAAAACTCCCAGCATGCTCCCACTCAGGGCCTTGTCCTCTCACCTCTGCCCGCACACTCTTACGCCGGCTATCCACAGAACCAGCTCTCTCACTTCCTCACACCCCTACTCAAACATCACCTCCTCGGGGAAGCCTTCCCTGACCACCTCTCTAAAATTATCCCCCCACCTGACACACTAGTGATTTCGGATGCTGTTTCATTCTTCTTACCATTCGTAACCACCTGACATAATTTTTTGTTATCTGTGTCTCCCCACAAGGATGTTAAGCTCCATGAAGGCCGGGGGTTTTGTCTGTCACGTTCACTGCTAAACCCCGGCACCTAGGACAATAGTTAACGCATATGAGCAGCCCAGTAATGACTGGTTGAATGAAGTGAATACATGAGAGGCTAAGAAGCCAGAGTGGAAAGGAATGGGGTGCAAGCAAGGGGAAGGGTTATGGGGGTGGGGCTGCAGCAGTGCGCTGGGCCAGGTGGTTTCTGGGCGCTATTTCAGAGGATTACCGGGGTGGCGTCCCACAGGCTTGGCGAGCAAGCATAAAAGGCGGGGAGAGGTGGGCCTGGTTGAGAAGCAGCTGCCACAATGCAGGAACAATGTGAGGATTGGGACTAGGGTGGTGACAGTGGGAAATGATGGGGACAATAGGGTTAGCTACCCAACTGGATTTAGGTGAAGAGGAAGGCAGAGCAGAACATGAGTCAAAGATGGATCCAAGGTTTGGAGTCAGGATGACTGGAGAGAGACTAATGCAACAGAGCAGACAGAGAGGTTTGAGAGAGGTTTGGGTATCTGCCTGGGAGTGTGTGGGAGTTTTCTGAATGTTCAGTTCCTGGTTGATAGTCTAACCTTGAGGGCTGAAAATAAATAAATAAATAAATAAAGCTATTTAAAAAAATAAAAATAAAGCAGATTATCTATGGGGATTTTTCTGCAGCTCATACTGTTTATTTTCCCCCCTTGAACTATGGAACAAAAGGCATACTGACGGAGGTTAATGAATGAGCCTTTACCTTAAAACATATGAATCTAGAATAAGTTTGTCAGGAGAGCTGTTTGCCAGTCTGAAGAATGTTCTGATGTATTAAATCAGAGAGATTAATAAAGTAAGAGAGGAGAGTTGAGCTAACAGTAATTATATCCCCCTCTGGGTCTTAACTAGGAATTAGATCATCCCACAGGGAAACTGCCTCCTGGAAGAGGAGCAATCCGAACCAGGGCTGCCCCGGATTGACAGCAGGCTGGCAAAGCTCAGGGAAGCGTCGCCCTTGAAAAGATCCCAAGGCAATCTGGCTGTCACGACCTTTACTCAGAACTCACTCCAGGCCTCACTAATGGTGAGACAGCCTGGCATGATGAGCCTCCCAAGGTGAGGCAACGAGGAGACCACAGCATCACCTGAGAAATATTCTTGCCAAAAAATATTTAGCCTTTAGTTATTACAGAGGATAGAGGAACCAGCTGAATGACAGCATGAGGCAGCAACTAGATAAACTCAGAAGGTGAGACATTGTGCAAAACTGCTTCTGGCTTTTTCAGTAGTCTTTGTCAGATGCCCTGTGATTTTACTAAAAAGGAGGGGAGTGCGATCCTAAATTAAGACACTTTAGAGTCAAAACAAATGTACATGGGGTCCTTGACTGGCTCCAGAATCAACAGGGTCAAATGAGGGGAAATGGGACAAGTGAGGGAATTTGAATATGGACTAGAGGAAAGGGTGATATTGGAGATTACTATCAATTGTGTTAGTGAGATGACAGTATTGTAGTTGTGTAGAAAAACGTCATTTTTTAGAGGAGGCTTATTGATTGGGGTGAAATATGAAAGATATGTATTTGCTCTAAAAGATTTTGCCAATAAACAAAGCAACAGATTAATCAAATATAGCAAAGATGTTAGCAATTGCTGAATCTGGGTGGTGAGTAAATGGGCGTTCATTACATTATAGTCTCTACTTTTCTATATGTTTAAAATGTTGTGTTTTTAAAAAGCCTCAGGCCCTGGCTGGGTGGCTCGGATGGTTGGAGCATCATTCCATACACCGAAAGGCTGTGGGTTTGATTACCGGTCAGGGCACATACCTAGGTTACTGGGGGCTTCAGGATCTTTCTCTCTCACACAGTTGTTTCTCTCTCTCTCTCTCTCTCTCTCTCATCAATAAAAACATACCTTCAGGGGGATTTTTTTAAAGCCTTGAAGCTGCAAGAGCTGCTCATTCTATTTGTGGGTGATGTGAGACCATTCCTCCTCCCTGGGTCCACACACACACACACACACACACACACGCACACACAGGAACCTCTTCGGGCGGCCACCGGAAGTCCTAAGTCAGCTGAAAGCCACATCCCTGCTGAGAGGAGACGTCCTGTGCAGCGAGAGCCTTCCCTGCTCAGGCCAGAGCTGGGGACACTGGAAGATGGACGTTTGTGCCACTTTGAGCTTTGCCTTCTCTGCCACTACACCCAGATATGGAAGGCTCCTCTACCTTTGCCGATGCTGACGGACAGACCATAATACAGCGGCACCAGGGAAACAGGCTTTGAAGCGGGGGTCCTCAAACTTTTTAAACAGGGGGCCAGTTCACTGCCCCTCAGACCGTTGGAGGGCCGGACTATAGTTTAAAAAAAAACTATGAACAAATTCCTATGCACACTGCACATATCTTATTTTGAAGTAAAAAAACAAAACGGGAACAAACACAATATTTGTATTTGCATGTGGCCCGCGGGCCGTAGTTTGAGGACCCCTGCTTTGAAGAGTAGCAATGGGGCATATAACCCGGGTGAGGCCAGAATCCTTTGGAATGACATCGTTTCATGTTTGGGTCTCAGGAGTGACAATGAAAGAGCCAACAGGAAACTCCTGTAGGAAAGGCAGAGAGGGGGATTTCCAAGCCTGGAATCAGCTACAGAGGAGAAACAGGAGACAGGATCCTTCCAGAGGGAGGGGAGAGAGGAGGCAGAGATCCAGGATAAGCCAACAGCAGGGACCTGGGAAGAAGCGGGAGGTTCAGAAAGACATGTTCTCCCAGGAGCTGAGGGAAGACTCTAAGGAAGGCGGGGGTGTGCTAGGCATCTGCTTGGCACTGAGGTAAGCGGAGGTCGGGGCGGAGGTGGGAGGGGGGGGGTCTCAGAGGCCTCTCAGGCAGTGTCAGAGAGAGGGAGGAGTTGGGGTTAGGTAACTGGAGTAAATAAGGGGGAATTAGGCAGCAGCAAGACCAACTCACCCTTTGAAGCCAAAGGAAGTGAGAGAGGTTGAGGGCTGGAGGGGCCACCTGGCAGCACAGTCATAAGAGAGTATGAGAGAAGGTTCCAGAATCCTTTGTGTTTAAAGCCAAAGATTACTCCCCCTACATAATGTGACACATCCATACAGCTCAGCAAAAAGAAGTGAATGGGTGGGCTCAGGCTCATGGAAAGGTCTAGAAGGGACCAGATGGGCAGAGGGTAGTAGTTGAAAGCAAGGGCTTTGCAGACCAGAGGAGCTGGCCCTGGGTCCTGCTCCTGCCACTTATTGTATAACCTTCTCTCTGCCTATTCCTCATCTGTTCAATGGAGCTAGTGGGATGCACTCCAACAGTTGATCAGTAAATAGGAACTGGTTAATGGTGGGCCGGGGAGCGCTGGGTCACTGGGAGCCTGTGGGTGGGGGATGGAGAAGGAATACCTGAGCTTTCCCGGCTCAGGAACGCCCAAGCAAAAATCTCGCCGACCCAGGCCTGCAGTTCCGAATCCTGCTGCACAGATGCGTCTCTGGGATAGTAGTAGCACACAATTTCTGAGACAAAGCTGCAGGAAAAAGATGCCCATGCCATGGCAGTGACCTTGGGCTCAGGCCTGACCAGAAAACCAAGGTCCAGTGCTGAGGGGGGAGCCAGCTGGTCAGAATCCACAAGAGCCCATGGGGGTTCAGTGGAGACCCCCCCCTCCCGCCAGATGCAGTTGGAACCCGAGTGCCCAGGCTTCCCTCACTTCTCGCCCTCCACTCCTGGTCACGGCTGCTCTGGGCCTCCTTCCTGCATAGAGGGCTGGGGGGCGGCGTGGGGGGGGGTACACAGAGGAGAGCCAGGCTCATGCTGCATCCCCTCCCCACTCAGCACCCAACAGACAGGAAGGCCTGCCTGCCTAGAGGCCCCAGCCTACACCTCGCTGTCTCACCTTCTCTGGACACCCTGTCCTTCCCCTCCTCCACTGTGTTCATACACAGCCCAACCTCTCCCCACCCCAAAGCTATCAGCCATTTCATAGGGGACCCCAACCCCAACTCTCACCCTCGGAGAGCCCCATGCTTGGGCCTGAGAACACCTGGAAGTCCCCGCACCCAGCGCCCCAGCCTGCATGAACGTAGAGACCCACACTGCCCTGGACCAGGAGGCCCCGAGGGGCCAGACTGGCTTCAGGGTCCCAGGCCCACACCTCTCAATGGCGGCCCAGATCTTCAGGCCGTCATCCCGGTAATGGTAGTTGGGGATAGCCAAAACCCCGCGGGCCCGCAGGCTGTCCGGAAAGCAGAAATTGGTGTAGGTGAAGTGGGCCAGGCCCGTGCTCATGAGGTAGAGGAGGCCTTGCCTTCCGATGGAGGTGACCTGAGGACACATCACAGCTCAGCTCCCGGGTCCTCCCCCTCGCTCTCCCCCTCCTCCTCCTCCCTCCCCCAGGGCCTGGGGACCAGACGTGGCTAGTGATGCAGCGGAGGGGATTTTTCAGTTAATCAAGCAGCCCAAGACCACGGATCAAAACCCCCATGAGGGGCCCTACTATGTGCACAGGAGATAATCCTTAGGTATTTAGTAACTAAAAGAATGAACTGTTGCTACGGAGGCAGGGAGGCGAGAGCAGGGCTCGGCGCAGGGTCAGCGAGGGGCTGTGCTTAGGTGGGGGTGGGGTACCCCACCCACCGCAAGGAGCATCTGGAACTTGGTCTGAGGGAGGGGGCCCGCGGG